ATTGTTGGTTATAAGGAGTTAATTTTTAAAAATATAATCGTTCATCCATAGAAAAGAAAATATTTAATATTTAAATGCCATAAAATTTTTCAATAATATTTTTTTTAACCGTTTCATCCCAAGCAAGTTGATGATACCCTGAGAATGGATGAGGTTACAGGAAGTGAAAGAGAATGTGAAGACTTTGAGAAGGAGTGAGGAAAGGACAATAAAGAACAGGGTTTAGGAAGACAAGATAGTGATTGACATTGCATTTAAATTTTTGAAGATTGTATGTGGCAAGGAAGCAGGCAATCAGAATGGAGTTCCACAGATAAGAAGTGAGAAAAGAAACTTAGAATATAAGTGGTAGTTGAATCTAGCTAGTTCAACAGTAAAATGTTGAAACCCAGTTGCCAATCTTGTAGCATACTTAAATTCATGTAGTCAAGGCACTCGGGATGGGAAGGGAAGCTAATCAGAACAGTTGCCATGAAAATATTTGTAGAAAAAGCAGAGTGAATCCATATCACATTGGTGAGAATGTGACTAAAGTTGAGATCCCAGGTTAGGATCGATTACATTACAAACCCATCTTTGAATTTTGTCAAGAATCTTGAGATAAACAGCTGGAGCACCCAACCAGATATGGCAGCAATATTCACTGCATGGTTGAATGGTAGATTTATAAATGTGCCAGATGGATTTTACATTCTTCCTAAACCAAGAACTTCTGATTCATGCTACACTAATTTCCACCACTGGCTGTGGAAAATCCGAAACTCAAGACTGCACATAGACTCCACATATAACTTCTGTTTTTACAAAGAAATATACAATCCAGAATTTCCAACCAATAGCACACACTCCTGCCTCAAGAAACAAAATAAAAATTGGAGCTGATGTGAGCCTAAGAAAAGGACATAAAAGCCCATGAAAGGTACATTTTTGGGGCAGTCAGATGGCATAACAGCCTGGATTCAAACTGCTAATCGGAACACAGCCTCCCATCTCCAAAAGACAACTTACCAAAGGCTGTCACCACAGTAAGTTATAACTCAGCCTCCATCTACGGTATACCTCTGCAGATGACTTTTACAATTCCACTTATCTTCTTCATTTGATGAGACATTTACACTGATTTACAATTTGTTGTATTTTTATGTTAATACAATTGTTTATTTCTTAAATCTCCATTGTTTCTTCTTTGTACTGCCAACATATGCTTAATATAACAAGAAAAATTTTCTGGCACAACACTGAACCAACTTTTCTGGTTGCAGATGTCTACTGCATAGCAATTGAAATGTGAGCCCCAAATGGTCTAGTGTTACTTCCTTGAAGTTTAGCCTTAGCCATCTAGATGGCAGGTAAAAAAGGTTCTCTGCGATGATTAAATTATAGCATATATATCTTAAATTTTAGGTGACAGTTACCCATTAACCATCTCCCTGCTGTCACTAATGTGTCTTTCCTTTTGCACCTCACTGATCACTCTGGGAACAAACTTTGCACAAATTTTGTGCATGGTCAGATCTTCATGAATGGTTCTGTGTACAATTGCCACATCAACTCCAAACCCTTATTGTCTTTATAGACACAGGATGGTCTTCATCCAGAAAATTGGGAATTTTCTCATCCAACTTTGATGTTTTGACTTCCATCTCCCTTCATCTCTCTACTATCTTTGAAACTCTTATGCTAGTGAAAAATAGATGCTCAATTCATACAAGTTGATCCATAAGCAGTCTGAAGAATTTCATAAGTTTCTGTAGTGTTTGCTCAGCTTAACACAAAACTTGATTGTATAGCAAGCTTTCAAATTGTCTTCATACCCGACTGCATTCTGCAAACTAGTCAGGTGTGACAAACCGTGTTTACTAGGGTGTGTTCAAAGAGCTGTTGTAGCCGTCTCCTTTAATCTGGAATAACAAATGTTGGCAGGACAGATTAGTAGATATATAGTAATAATATACTAAAATTACAATAATCTAGGACAGTTATAATTGTCTATAGTAAAAACAGTCTAAAGACTTCTGGTGCCTCATACATATTCTTGCATAATTCCTGTCAAGAGCAGAGAGTAATTTGATATTAATATTAGCTCAAGCTCCAGGGTGGAGGTGCATCCACACAAGACAATATTTCTCCTTCTTGAGGACGATGGACAAGTTCCAAGGAGGCATTTGTGCTCACGGTAAATACTTACATATGTCCACACAACATCTGACCAATGATAATGTACATCACAAACAATTAGCAACCAACTTAGAGAGATCCAAAAGAAATAGTTTCTCGAAGGTAAAGAGATCCATTTTGATTTTGGTTGACCATGTACAGGACATATCACAATTCACATTCAGATTGGACAATTGACCAATCAATTGGTTCTATTTAGGTTTATAACATCCCTAAGTCTGGGAATCAGTAGTTAATCCAAAAACAAATAAAAAGTGAATGTGTTCGTTCAGATAGAATAACCAAAATGTTCTATTTTGGCAACTGGAAAAAATGTGATTAGAAGAAAATTCTAGCTGATCTTCCTGCACCAATGAGGTCCCGGTTGAAAATATGATGTACTTAGTACATATGCATGAGTGGGAACTGACAATTTCTGGGTCCAACCAACTTTCACAAATCTGAATTAACACCAAAATGTAATTTTTTTAATATATCATCTTGTGCAGGCCAGCTTAGTACATGTATAGTAATGATATACTAAAATTACAATAATCTAGGACGATTATAACTGACACGCCTAAAATAGTCTAAAAACTTTTGGAATGCACCTCGTACTATATTGTAAATTTAAAAACTTAATTCTTTCTTTTGGAGCAGATAGCTTGGGATGGAGAGGATTAATACTCTAGTATCTGTTAAACTCTTAAGTATTTGAAAATATATACTAAAATGAGAAAATTTTCTATCCAAATTTTAGTTGTTTTTCAATTGAAATAAAGGAAAAAAAAAGTCAGTTAAGTGCCATATGTGGGTGATCATGTCTCTTTTGATCAATGTCTGACTAGGCAGAAGATTTTCCTGCAGTAGGTTGTTGTTTTTTCTGCAGTAGACTGGTTGTCACCCAACGCTATAGGATGTTCTGCTATTCAACCCATAGTTGAAGAGAGGAGAGATGGATTTATACTTTTCTCAAGGGTATTTGGGCATAAGTAAATGTAATGAACCCAACCGTAATTTGAACTTGGCTCTCTGATTTCTCATTTCAAGCTGTTATCCATTACACCACCTGCACATCCAAATTCAAAGTAAACAAAAAAAAAAGAAGTAACATTTTCTTTGTGAAAGGGTGTAAGCAAAACTAGGTGAAAGAAAAAGTGATATCATAATCATATATTTTAAGCAGTTTCAAGAAATGTTCTTACTACAACAATATACATTCCTCTATTTCCATTACTAGAAATGTCCAGAAAAGAGTAACATTTTATCTGTGTACTTACTGAAATTTCAGAACCAAACTGACACAATCCCCTGACCTGGTACCTTACTTGGTGCCTTCTCTGAATATGCACTTATTTGCTTAAAGTGTTTTTTTCCAAGTACATCAACTGCATGATGCATTTCTAGAACACAGACATGTTGGACATGAGAATTGTTGTACTGTATGGCAAGAGTGTGTTGAGGTTGGGGGAAACACCTAACTGATTGCTTTTCTAGCAATTACGGGGGAAAGAGACTGTGGGGGTGTAACAAAAATAAAACTGACTCTGAAATCACAGCAACTTTAGGAACAAAATACCCCCAGGACCAACTTCACAAGACACCATGTCTTCCCAACTGCTGATGGCTGGTTTTCTCATTGCTTTTATTGGCATGAGGAATCTTACAAAGACCCAGACCATGACCAGTTGCAGAGAGGCCTGTCTCTAGACATGCCAAGCTGTCCTGCTGCTAATGGGGTAAATCCCAGATGTAACTGGTATTGACAAACATGTCTGGTGATGATCTAGGACCTCTTTTGCATCTGTACTGATGCTCATTAACCACACTCCTTTCTGATCTTCTGATCACAGATATGATAGCCGATTAAAATATGTTAGTGTTTCACTAAAATATTTTAACACAGGTGTACAAAAATACTAAATTTTTTGTTTGGGTGGTTGTATCTTTAAATTTCTTTGAAAGTACTGAGGTATTAATGATTTTTGTACCACCCCATAACCCCTAATGTCATTAAGTTTCTGTCAAAATGAAAATTTATAGGGAAAAAAAATCCTATTTCCAACAAAATTACATATCCACATACATATCATATTCAAACATGGCCAAACTTTATTTTCTACCCAATAACGGACAATATTTGCAAACATAACAAAATGATTTCACAATGCAACACACACTGTTTAAATCAGTGTTTATTCGTTAGAAATGAACATCACCATGTGAAATATTTGACCAATCAAAGAAAACTAAAAACCTACTTTTTCCTGAGCATACTTTTGTGAAAAATTTCTTATAAAAACCCACAAATTTTGACTTTCAATTGTTTCCAAGCCATTCAAACACAAGAGAAGACATGGCTGCATAGATTTTTCCTTAACCCCAGGACATACTGAAAGAAATATGTGTTGGTAGCTTCAAACAAATCACCTCCAGCAACAACAGCAGGGATGGTCAGTGAATCTTTGCTGACAATCAGTCATTTCTCAACTACAACTTTGACTGCACCAACTATTAAGTCTTTTCTAAAACATAGTTTTTTTTCTGTAGACCAACTACTCAAAGACTTTAAAACTCAACTAAAGACTATTTTTACTCGTTTTTAACCTTTTAAATTCATGTCCATTTGTTTGTAAATACAAATTATTTAACAGACATGTCCATGTTTATTATTGTTTGGAATTCGGATTTTCGAATTTTTGATGTTAAAAAAAAAAAAAAAAACTCTGGATGACTAAATTTTCTACAAATTAAAGCCATTATTCAAAGGAGATAACTCTACTTCTTTGATTCCGATTATCTCCCCTTTTTTCATACGATATCTTTTTATATTCTAATTTCAGGACGAATTAATTTTATTGATTTTTTCCTACCTTGACGTCAAGGAGCTTTCGAATATCGCTGTCATCTGCAAAAAATGGAATTATCTGTCGTCCACGGATAGTTTATGGAGGCCTTTGTTAAACGCTGATGTAAAACAATGGAAAGTTATCACGCACCTCTCATATCCAAACCTCTATCAAGAAACTGATTCTGAGTGGACGCAAAAGGACATGTAAGTCTTTAAGTATGCTATAGAAACATGACCGAGTGTGACTGTCTAATTTTAAGAAGTTATGTTCCTGACCATTTTTCAGAATATATTTGGACACCTCTAGTTTCAAAATCCCTCTTTCCAGGGAAGGTTAGGGACACTCTGCAATTGCTGTTTTGCAGTGACACATTATCAAAAATGAATCATTTTCTGGAAGGGTGCAGGAGAACTAGACACCACCAACTGAGTGCCAGGACAAATCATGGCTGAGACAACTTGGAATCAGAAAAACAACTTTTTATAACTGAATAAAAGTAATTTATTAAGGATTTAAACCTTAATTAGTTAATATTTTTTTTTTAAATAAGACATATGAAAAGGCATTATGTAAAATATGAACCAGTTTTTAAGTTAAGTCATAAAGAAATTTTTTAATAAAGTAAATTGACATATAAAAAATCAATAAAACACATTTGCTAATTATTTTTAATAAAGTAAATTGTAATGTAATTTATTTTTTAATTAAGTAAATTGATATTATAAAATACTGAATTATTTTCTATTTGTAAATTTACTTAATTAAAAAATAATTTTTTTTACAATTTTCTTTATTAAAAATAATTAAAAAAAAACAAGTTCATATTTTACATAATGCTTTTTTAAATGCCTTATTTGAACAAAAATATTCTTTAATTAATGTTTTAATCCTTAGTAAATCACTTTTATTAGGTTATAAAAAAGTAATGTTTTTATGGTCCTGAGTTGTCCTGTTGTTCAGTTAACAGTGTTAAGTTGTCCCTTCCTATTTCTGGAATACTTTGCAGTTTTGCAGTTGTGGCAAATAAAATAAAAATGGTCTTTTATTATTATTATAAATAATTCATTTCTTCAAAAAAAATGTTTAAATTGTCTTAAAAAAATATAAGTATGTTAATTTCTGGAATGAGGAGTTATCATTATTTACATGTACACAGGGCAATTCAGGGATATAGTAATTGTGAGTTCAATCCCTGGGCTGAGTAGTGTGTACTTACACTCAGCAGAAATAGGGTGAGCAATAAATGAGCAATACTAAAATAAGAACTAGACGAGATGTGCTTAGACATGGGCAGTGGAGCGAGAACAATTTATTCCCCTAGATTAAATAAAAGGTTCAGTTTGAAATTCGCTGCTGGTTAACCAGATCAACATATCTGATGAAGGCTGGTGGACACAATGGCCGAAACGTAATAACAACAACCACCAAGATGACGACAACAGTCTACACATTATAAATAATAATTATAGTAGATGAAAATGTTGACTTAATATTATAAGACAATGTTAAAATTATATTTAAAAATTTTGAAATTTATTTTAATGCTAGACATTGCTATTATTTGATAGTTTCTTTTTAATTTTTTTTTATTAACATCCTTATTTTCCATTGCTGTTTTCAATCAAATATTTTGGTTGGTTCTCTCTTCAGCTTTATCCTAAGGTGCATGTTGCATTTATTTGAAATCACCTGAATGTAGCATATATATGAGAAAGGCTTGAAAATATTTTAGCCTAAATTTAGGGATAGAAAAAGAAGACATTACTATTGGAATAACAAAACTCATTAAATATTGTAAATCTAGAGAAAACTTCACATCCTCAAGGCCTTGTTATTAATGCACAAAATCTTGGTAACATAACATTTGTCTGTCCCTAATTTCTATCACATTAGCAAATTTTATAATAAAAGGAACCCCACTTGTTTCTTTTCTAATGATAATGAAAAAAATTGAGAAAAAATTCTTGGCAAACTTAGACCTTCATGCCTGTAAAAAAAAAAAAAAAAAAAAAAAAAAGTGTCAAAAAGGATGTTTTTTTCTTTCTCTTTCTTTGCTATTATTTTAACTACCTTCACTCCCTCAGCAGTGTTTATTGTTTTAAAAAGTGATGATTAGGATTGAGGAGGCATGGTGGAATAATGGATAGTGACTCGGATTAAGGAATCAGAGAGTCGAGTTCGAATTCCAGTTGAATCCATTACATTCACTTATGCGCTAATATCCTTAGGAAAGGTATAAATCCTCTTCTTCTCCACCAGTTATGGGTAAATAGCAGGACAGACCAGGTTCTATAGCCTTGGATGGCAACTTGTCTACCACAGAAAGAAATGGCAACCTACTGTGGGAAAAGATACATGATCACCTAAGTGTGTATCACGCATGGCACACAACTGACTGACTGATTAGGATTGTAATAAAACCTAAATATATGATGAAAGTGAATTGATACATTTTTTTGTTCTTGAGAATTGACAACAAAAATAATAAATACTATTTATTAGATTGTTCATTGGAATCATTGGCAAAACATCAGCTAATTGTGAATTGATTTGAACTTTATAAAACAGTAAATAATAAGGATTTCCTTATAATTAGTTCACATATTTTAATGAATTATTAAATGTTTATAAATTTATGAATAAAAAATTGTTTACATGTTTATTTCTTTATAAATTGGTAAATTATAAATATTGCATTAGTTTTAATTGTAGTAGTTTTTAGAATGTTGTAAATAATACAATTATTCTTGTAAATAAACAAACTTTTAAATTTCAAGCATGCATTGATAAACAATTATGAAAGTGATTAAAATTGCTAGATAAAAAGCTAATGGTATATTACTAAATTTATGTGTAGGATAACTCAGTTGGTAAAGAGTTTTGAAAAATCCTTATGGATTACATTATCAGAGAAATGTTTACATAACTAATTTTATCCATGAAAATTGAAATATTTTACAAGGGGTAAAAAAAAAAAAATGGACATATAAATTTTGACTAATAGGAAAAGTAAGCTATCATAGCTGCCATATTGAGGTGAATCGAGGGGAAAAAAAAGAAAAAACAAAAGCTTAACTGGTTATGATCGATTTATTCATTGTTTACAGCTTATCAACCCTTTCTAGGTCATTTAAATCCAGAAAATATTTTTAGACTATTCTTTTTTTTTTTTTTGAAATAATAATAATCATAGATTGAGAAGAGAGAAGTGAATTCTTGAGGGAGAAGTGGATTCATTCCTTTCTTTAGGGTATTTGCACATAAATGATAAAGACCCCAATTGGAACTTTGCTTTATGGTTAATAATTTGGAGCCATTATCCATTACACCACCCACACATCCAAGCTGATATTCCCAAGTGGTCACCTATGTTGGTACTGAGCAGGCTCGACATTGTTTAACTTCGGTGATTGTATGGGAACCGATATTTCAATGTGATGTGGCTGTAAGCCTTAACCGGTTTTCATTCCATTCTTTCATCAGATTCAATACCAGCCAATATTTGGAAAGGAAATTTGGATAATTTAAATAGGTGCATTCCTACATCTGGTTTGGTAACAGCTTGGCATTTATTAGATAACTATCAATGCACCTGCTCCTATAACCAAGACATGTTCTCAGTATTGAGGAAGGCTCATTTGGATTTCCATTTAAACATCTTAAAGATACATATAGTAAGTCCTTCCAGCCATCCCATTTAAGCAGAATTGTCTTTTAGGTCTGAATGTTATCAGCCTTTGATGATTATATATTTAATATATATAACACTCTATCTGGTGATTTTCTATTTTATTTGCACATTATCTCAGTCCCTTAGAAATCTGACAAGAGATGGATGAAAACCGATTAAACTTTCTTTTTTGTTCCCATTTTTTTTTCTTTTTCAATTAACCTCTTTATAGTAACTAAGTTTTTCTTATTCTTTTTCTATTTGATTTTAATATATCCATTTTTATTTTATTGCAATTAATTGAGAATTGTAGAACCAAGTAACTTGAAAGTCAAGCACATTTTGAATGAGGAAAGAAATGCCAAAAATTATTAAGAGATTTTTATTCCTTAATATTTGTTCAACATTACAATTGCATGAAATATAAATAAATAAGCAGAGAAGTATATATTTACAACTGTTATCATTTACTGTAATTTTTTTAAAAAAAAATATCACTAATAATGCTGTAGGATTTTGTAGCATAATATTGTCCCAAGAAAATCAGTAATGGATTCATTTTTGTAAGAAATTAACAAAACAAAACACAAATCAATTGAATAATTCTGAATCTGAGACAACTGCAAATTATTAACAATTTTTTTTCCTTTTATTGGATATAAGCCAAATTGTTTTCTCTTAGCTTTTAGATAGACATTTTCAGTAGCATATCTTATATAATGAAAAGCAGTTTTAAACAGTATGTCAGCTCATTTGATTAACAAAACAGGTATTTTTGTTTCAGCCAAGCATATGTTGATATGTTTGAACTTTCAAATAATATTAAACATTTTGAACTTGATCAATAAAATGTATTAAGTTCAGATTTCCTTTTTTTTTTAAATTGTTACAGTATATATTAGTTTGTCAAAAAATGATGGCAATATTTAAGCAATTTTGTAATTACATTGGGTATATTTTTTATATGTGTAATCTAGGATTTTTATCTATACAATTAACTCTATTGTTGCTTTTTTATTTTTTTTATAATAATGTTTACCGTGTAGACCCAAAAGCCACTTGTGGTAGAGGGTTACAAATTAAGAGTTAAGGGGCACAATCTATGAGGATATGTGAGGAAGATAACAGTTAACTCTAGATTTTAACAGGTTAAGATAGTAGTGATTGAGGAAGCATCCTCTTGAAACTCTGTTCCACAAAGAGGTTTATGGGAGGAAGCTGTTTAAGTGGAACATATATCTCGCCAAGGGAATATGAAGGGGATGAGGAGTTGCTGCTTTTTAAATAATTAAAAGTGAAAATAGCCAAAGAAAGCTAACCTGAACTGTATTGTCAAATATATGGCCATATTTAAATAATTTTGAAATTGCATTGGTTATATTTTCTATATGAGTAATCTTGGATTTTTATCTATACAATTAGCTATCTTGTTACACAAAAAGAAAAATTTATATCATTAAAAATAGAAATGTCCAAAGAAAGCTGATTAAAGAAAATGTATCAGCAGAATGATCTACTTATTAATGAGATATTCTGTTGTAATGGTAATAAAAGCCATGTTTGCTTATTGGTATTGAGTAATACATCCTGTTACTATAACAGTGTAATATTGTATTACTAAGAATGTACAGTCATGCTGTCTTACTGTTAAATATATGAAGTGATATTGTATTTCTTATTATAGAATAGATACTTGTTAATCACCACCCCCAACCCCACCCCTGGAACATGGAAGGATTAGTGTCAATAATCTTGATTAAGATTTTCCTTAGCTTGATACATGTGAAGATAATTTGGATTGCTTTGAAACGACTGGTTTAGGGGTGGGGTTGTAGAATGATATTTAATTGCCAGAACTACCCATAGCTGACATGCTCAAATTGTCATTCTTCCTCTGCTTGTGGAGGACCTCTAAGTATTTACTGAAACATTAAATTGTATCTGATATGCATAAAGAACCAACAGGAAATATCAAATAATAATACATTTGCATTCATTATCTTTAATTTTGTTAATACAATAAAGCATTTCTGTCCATAAGTGGGAAGGGAGTTTAAAATTGCCAAAACTTAAGGATAACAATAATCTAGAAGAGAGAAAGATCATTTTAATTTTTAATAGTGCATATTAAATTTAATAAAATATGAATTTAGGGTCAATCATTATCTATCCTCCATATCCTCATAATTTTCACTTCCTACTTCCTTCTCTTGCAACCATACAACAACTTCACAAAGTGACCCTCTACCTCGAGTGGCTCTTGGGCCTTGAATTGGGTGAACATTTAAGAAAAAAAAGAAAAAAGAACTCATACAATGAAGTCAATAAGACTTTGCTTACTGAATTTGTTATTACTCAACGGGAAGGTATGAACCTCCAAATTCTTTGTATCTGATCCTGTCACCTGTGAACTTAACACTGATAACTGATGGGACATGGAAAAGGGAGAATATATGAAATTGGGACGTCCCTTCTTGTCATAATTACTGTTCAGGAAATATCATCAAAAGCTGCAGTATACATTGTCAGTTATGACAGATAAAGGCCAGTAGTATTGCAATAATTTTAAATCAATGCAGGAAGTAATGTTTTGACCTATTGCATAATTAATTATTAAAAAAAAAAAAAAACTTTTGCACACAACTGGTTAATCATAGTAAATGCTTAATAGGTGTTGAAGCTTATTTGGAAAATTTGAGTCTGTAATTGTACAATCCATTAGTCAGTTAATTTTATTTCTCTTCCTGTTTCTCTGTATAAAGTATTCAATTGTAATCACTTCAAATCTAGAGGACATTCTTATTCCAGGCAAGATATAATGTGGAATTGTCTATTGGTCAATTATTCTGTTGTTGTAGATTTAATATCCAATGAAATTTGAGTTTTAAGTATATGACCATGTCCCAAGTCCAGTGATTAGTTATTTGAGCCAGTTGAAGGTATGGTGGGGAATTGATGCTTAAATCAAAAAATTAAAGCTGATTGCTCTTTTGTTGTTTGGTTGGCAGTCCAGATCAGAACTTTCAAGACTTTTTGCTTTGGTGACATGCATTTTAAAAACAAAATGTTTTGTAAAACAGTGAATTTTGTTAGCACAAGCCAGATATGTAATTCTGAATAAATAAATAAATAAAATATATATATATATATATATATATATATATATATATATATATATATATATATATAAAAGGTCAATGAAAAAAAAAAGATTGGTCAATTATAATAGTGTCACAACCAGGGCTGGCTCAAGGTACTGGCAACTCAGACAGTCGCCTGGGGTGCCATCATGCCACCATGTCGTGTTTGGGACCTTCCAATACTAAAGCTTATAAAAGGATACTTGTGGTCACCTATGACTTAAGACAGATTAAATTCTTTGGATATTTTGTCAATAGAAAATTATCTTCTAAAGAAGATAGGTGTAGAAAGGGTTATGAAAAGATTTGCAGATCTAAAGGCAAGAAAAAAACAAGTTTTGGCTCGGATAATGAATGCTTTCTTTAACTTCTATTAAGTTGTATATTGTAATAAACTTGTTATTCTACATTTTCAGTATTATTCCTTGTGAAAATTTTAAAATTTATACTTGTAAGGATGCTGAAGTTTAGCTTTCCTGGGACACCAGCAACCCTAGGATTGTCACTGGTCACAACACACCAGTTTAGAAAGCTCTGGTCTAGATGTGGTGCAAAATAGAAATTATCAAGTCATTTGTTTTATTCATGAAATTTAGATAGTAATTTGAAATTAAAAAGAAAATCTTTTTTTAAAATATTTTTGAATTAATTAATGTCTTTTTTTTTTCTTTTTAAATTTCTGTCCCGTATTAATTACATTTGCATAAAAATTTAATTGGGTAAATGTTACAACTAATATTAGATAGAAGTACTATTTTTTTTGTTGCTTGGTTATTGATGTTTGCTGTATTTGTTTATATGAAATGTTACATTCATTTATCACTGTAATGGTATCCCAAACTTGGTACCCTGTTATGGAGAGTTCAAGTACATCTATTCAATACAGAATACTGAAAAATAAATTAGTCCAGTAACTAACTGATCAGTAGAGTTGTATACTTCTATATATGAGTTAGTTAGTAGTGTTGCTAGTCATATTTAAACTCTTAACTATTTAATCGGATATTTTTCTACAAAGTTGGATATAAAATGGGATCCCAGGCAGGTTATTTTGGAGTTATAAAAGGCGGGGTTTTGAGATGTTTTTACCTGCTAACTTTGAAATTTTAAAGAGCTCCAAATAATGATTTAAACTGTTTGAATCTGTGCAGGATTATTCTTTTACCTCTTATTTATATTTTCATTGGGGTCTGGAGCTAATGTCAACAGGTGTGAGAGTTTGAAAAGTAAATAAACCAAATGCTTCAATGCAGCCGCTTTATTTACAATGCAAAAAATTCATGCTGAATGCACTTTGAAATATTTGTGTACTCAAGTCATAAAGTACCTGTATGGCAAGGCAAAAAAAAAATGCTGACATCAATAATTATTAAACAAAAGGAGTATTCACCATATTCACAACTACCTTTTTGGTTTTAGAATAACACAATAAAATTTGTCCATGACATATCTGAAATTTCAAATTTTCAATCACATAATGAACAGTATCAATTGAATGTGGTGCATGGGCATAAATCACCTCAACCTATCTGGGACATAGGGTTAACCAGTTACTATGATTTAAAAAACAAATGCCTCATTTGTGATGTCAAGGGTCAGTAAAAAATTATGTTAATCAGATATGACAAAGTTGGCA